AACTTTTATACTCTACCTCATCTTGGGTCCAGTCTCCGGGTACTGGCTCTACAGGCCAAGTTTAACTTTGTTTTCAGTAATGAACCCATAACGGAACAGCACTATTTGAACTTCTGCATCATGCTAGACGGATGCAAAGATAGAATGAGTGATAAGCAAATGTCAAGCGTGGCTTCAAGTGGTATAGAATGGGGGATTACGGATCAGCATCAAACTCGGGAAGATGTTTCCAATATTAGTTGGAGTGGGCAAGCCTTCTCGGAGCTACAACAGATGTTACGACTATTAATCTGGGATATACAAACTGAAGGATATGCAAAGTTTGACTAGGAGTTGTGATTCTAGACTGGAACTTCAGCCACAGTATAATAAAATATTGAAGGGTGAAAAAGATAATGTAAGGTGCCTACTCTTTCTTTAAACACGAATAGAATTAGCCTACAACTAGCCAATCGAAGCTAAATCATGAACCCTATCAAGGGCAGTAGGCGAGGCTGAAAGACCTCACTTATCTTAACTGAAGCTTAACTGTTGTATGTCGACACATGCATCTATTGGCCAATACGAAGTCGCTTCCGCCTGTGTACCTCGGCCCCACATGAGTGCTGCTCTCGTAACCTCACCGGCCGGCTATCCAATTGGGAACGATGAAAGTCAATGATCAACACCCGCCCTAGCTCGGCGTTCCACAGCATATTATCCAACCGAAGGTCCTGGTGTAAGACCCCAAGTAAGCGAATCTTCTTCTGTGATCGCGAGACTTCATGCCTGATCACCTCAACATCTTCCAACTTGTGGATAGGTTCACCGCCCCAACCCATCAGGAGCATATGGCGGATCTGGCCAGCCCCGTGCAGGAAGTAGATCATGGCCAGGTCGATTGTGCCGAGAAAGACTGGGACGGCTTGCCCTTGGACTTGCCAGAGGATACGATAAATATCCGCCTCTCGCTTAACCTCATTCCACAGGTAAGACGTGGTTCCTTTCCCGACGACCGTATACCCATATGCGGTGCACGTGATTTTAAAGGGCGCTCCCGATGCTCCACAGTCTCCCATGGGGGTGCAGTCGACATCGAGATTTTGGTCCAGTTGCTGCTTAATCTGCCGAACTAGACCGCTGGCATTAATCAAGTGTTGGTTGCTGGTGCCACCCTGTCGATGGAGCTCGACATTCGGGCAGCGGCCATCCAGCGTGCCTCCTCGCTGCAGGCCCAGCAGACATCGTTGGGTACAAAATTGAGCGTTGTGTTGGTACTGGCCGCGTTCATTCGGCTGGGTCCCTGTCTGACGGGCCGATCGCTGCACCGATGGAGACAATGGAGACGATGTGACCTGGCTGAAGCCACGCTTCCGCCCGCCGGGAGCGGAGTCTGTATCAGAGTCTGGAGAATCATCTCGGTCCATGGTATTCGGCGCACACTGGGCTCGAGACCGGGTCGGTATCCGACGTCGTTGCGTAGGAGATTCCACCGGAGAGGACGACGGGAGGTACTCGGAGGCTGTCCGTCCGGAACTCACCGAGGGACTATATTCGGAGCTCGGTGGGTTTTGCCGCAATTCTCTTTCCGGGATTTGGGAGCGGGTATAATCGAAACTCGTCTTCCAGACCGGCAGCTGCTTCCGTGCCTCATTTCGCCAGGTCTGGTCGCGAATCGGAGCACCAAAACTCATCAAGCACAGACACAATACCCGCGCAATGGCCGTCAGCGGCTGATCAAAGCTATGGTCATCATCCAGATCGATCTCCATGTTTGGCTCACACAGGTGGTAGTACAACGTGCCCGGCTCATCGTAAGGGATACGCAACAGAATTAGTGCCAATCCGTTCGTCAAATATGAGTACTCCAGACCTTCCTGAATCATGACATGGTACTGTTGAGTTATTGCCGATCCGGTCAGCCAGGCTGCATTATACGCCAATTTCGCGGGTTCCTCCATGGGGATAGAATTCGGCTGGACCACCTCCTCCCAAAAGTTCATCTCTCGCAAGCCGGCGCGCAGGTTCTCGACAGACAGCTTATGGGGCGGCTTATACTCAACTGTGGTAAGAAGTGTATTTCTCTCACCGTCAACGCGGCGTATACAAAATTGATCTGGTCTAGAACGCCGATACGTCGAGGATTCAGCCAGTAGGGACGGATCAACCTCATTCTGATCGAGGGCGTTTGCATGATTGTCAAACTTAACCCCATCGCCCAAGCCAAATTGGTCTCCAGCACCAGAGCTCTTGCAAAGTTCCGCGATAATGTCATGAACATAGTTCTCCACACCAAATCGTTCATAGCTTTCCAGATCCTGTTCACTACTTATAGCTCTTTCACCAAACCTTTGCCCCAGATCCTCCAGCACAAGGCGGGGCGAGAACAGTTGCGCAGCAGTCTCCCCTGAAGGCTCTAGATAGGCGCAAATAGAGCGGTAAACCTCCTGTTGTCTGGCAGCACAATCTTCCCAATGCCGAAGCCGCAACGGACAATATTTCCCGGTCGGCGGGGGTATTTTCCCAGTCGTAGAGCGAGACGGGGTTTCAACTCGTAGCTGCAGCGAGAAAAGGGAATGGCACAGGCGAAGGAGCTCGAGAAAGGTCGTTGGCCGTGATCGTTCTCGTCCTTGGTCCCGCTCTTCCTCTGCCCTCTTCTGACTCTCTTCAGCTCGTCTTCGTTCTTTCTTTTCTCGTTCCCGCTGCTCTTCTGCCCGCCTCCGTCCTTCCTCTGCCTTTCTTTTGTCTTCCTCCGCTCTCAGATAAAGCGCCTTATAATCTGGAGAGCTGGAACTATCCATCTATTCGATAAGTCGTGAACATGCACATAATCGACGCGGGTTATTCCGACAAGAACCTAGAACAAACGGGATGTCAACAAACAGGATTGACTGGAGAAGTCTGGCTTGGAGTCGGCAAAGAGTCAATGAGGGAAGTTGAGAGACCTAAGACAGCCTATTCTGGCTCAAAGTGTTCGTACAGCATCAACTAATTCGTAAAGGCGGAATCTTCCAGGGCATTTGTTTAGATGGGGGACGAAGGGAAGGTGATATACTGTTCTGGAGGAGAGGGTTGATTAGCACTTACATATCACGTGATATACCGATCATGTGGACCGACTCGTGTGGAGACACGTATTATTAGTGCACCATTGGCCGTGCCAAGCCATGGTAACCTTCGATAGATCCCGCAACCAATAAAAACATCATCAATCGATATCTACAGTTGAAAAGGAGAGAAGAACCCCCAGATCAAAATTTTAACATGTTTCCAGGTCGACTCCGGCACCTTTTGCTCCTGGCCCACAAGGTAGCCAGAATGTCCCCACGAATTAAAGAAACAAAATTAACTAGTGCCTGATGGAATTGTGCATATAACACCGCGAATTGCAGTTCGGTTTGATACCAGTCATTACCACTGGTAGTTGGATACCCTGAATAGTTCAGTCGGTGTTTCTGGACCAGTTTACTGATCTCCACTATTCATACCCCAAGATTTGATCGGTTATGCAAGAAACGCGTACAGTTAATGAAACAAGGTTAGACAGAATAGGTAAGACAAACAATGAGCCATGACCTATATCTCCCTAATCTTCTTTTGCCTGTCCGAAGCCAAGGGTGTTTCACAAGCTGCTTGCCTTTGTGTGCTCTAGGACGCTCATGGGGCCTGCCACGATAGAGATATTGATCCACCAACTCCGGGGTATACTCTTGAAGCTCAGAGTGCGAGTACCACTGTACTTGGAGGCAAAGGAATGTCAAGCTGCCCTCTGGCGTTGATCGGTGTGTGAGGATACGTGTTATATTGCTGTCCTCGTCATCAGATTGGTCTGCCATGGTGGAGTTGGGCCGCTGAGTGTCATCGGTTTGGGTGTCCGCTGTACAAGTTAAACAAAACATCCCTCTATTAAATAGGTGCGAGGAGACGTACCGTCGACCCAAGTCCGGTTACTAATATGATTGATCGGTGGGGAGATCGGGTTATGTAGGTACTTAGAACAATCGCTGACATGCTCACCTAGTAACGCCGTTTGTCTACCACTCTCGGTGGTATGACCTAAAATTTTTAAGCTTATTGACCCATTTTAAAGCAGAGAGTTACGTACCCGAGTAAGCATTTCGCAACCAGCTGTCGGCCACCATTGTATGTGAGGCAACGGCTGGGGCGCAGTTCTCCTGGCCTGACGGCTGGGCTACTGTCTCGCCAGATAATGGAAACCCTCCAGCTACGGCCTCATGTACGGCCTCATGTATGGTCATGCTGTGGCCCTTGTGACCATCCGAAGCCACTGGGACGATGCCAGTTTCAGAATGGTGCATTTGCTTATCGTTCTCCTGGTCGTGGAAAATATGACCCTGCGAGCGATAGCTGGGAATTTCCAGGATGGTATCGCCGTCGGTGTCATTAAGGAAAGGAGAAGGGGTTTTGACCCTCTTTTCCTCAATGTCAATCAAGATAGGATTACTCGCAGAACCCAGCATGAAAAAGTTCTCCGGTCTCTCTATGGGGATGTGACAGTCGTCTTTAAAATTCATTTCTGTGGACCCTGGTGGAGATACAAGACCAAACAGGTATAGGAGGAAAAGTCTAGGATATGAAGGTAGGTGTGGAAGTAAAAATGACAGTTGAATTGCAGAATGAATGATTGTCGGGGGAATGGATGCCCTTTATGCCTTTTCGGCTTTCGTTGCAAAGGTAGCGTGACACATGATCACAGCAGATCAACCTCCGTATTGCGCGGATATTCATACGAAGGCAGTGACTGGTTGGATGGTGTTTTGCTGTGTTGGTGGGCGGTGTAATAGTTCAAGCCATTACGTTGGACTAGCAAGGATAAGGCAGAGGGTAATATCCTCTGATTCGGAAGAAAGCCTGGACGAGGCCTAAAAATAGGGTATTTCGAGACCATTGATCTCGAAGCAGGTCCACCCATGAAGGTGATTAGTCGAGTATCTGGTCTTGATGTACCTTGTGATACTACAGTACCATTCCTCGCACCCGAAGGCATCCATCATTATGGATATGACGTTATACAAGCCGCCATGTTACTAAAAATGAGGAGACCTGAATCATTGGAAACAGGTCGGCCAGTCATCGCTCGAGATCATGGGGAATAAATTACCCGGCGTTTGAAGCCAAGTGTGGATAGTCTTGCGAGGCCAGGGCAATATCTACCAATACTTCCGTTGGAACACCCAACAACGACTCTCGGTTGGGCCAATTGGATATGGAGGATAGTTCTCGAGGTTATCTCGCTGGATTCATGTCCTTGGGCAGGCACGAAGGAGGGTGAAACGGTCTCAAAATAACATCCTGACGCTAACCTTACCTGGAAGCGTCTGCTTTTTCTAGGCCACGAAGACAGGACCAGTCACAATCGGACTACGCAATAGTTTCATTGCCAAGGCCAATTGTCATGAGCATGGTCAAGTCAGCCTACCGTACAGGGTATGCTAAATTCAGCCTACAGTGAAGTCCGACCACACTTGGGCGTTGAGAACCAGCCGGCGATTCGTCCGCCAATGAGCGAGTTGATCAAATCCATGCGTCGATGCAAGTTGAGCATCGTAATCTCACATCTGATAGAGGAGTACGTCCGTTTACCGATGGATATGTGGATCCAAGCTAGCCGCGCGAGGGTAACAGCCCGCTTTTCAGTATCCTAGGATGTTGGAAAGCCGGGTGCTAGCTCGCTTTTCGCCATCCTGGGATATTGGGCAGCCTGACGCCACCTCGCCTATAAAAGGCCCCTCGATTCCTGCCATCTCCTTATTTCTCAATCAGCTTTGCCTCTCACTCATTCGATAACAGCCATCTTGAAGCTTTTTTAATTATGACACCCGATAGCACGCAAGGGTTGGAAAAACCCCATCAGCCTCTCAGAGTCAAGGAGAGGCTCATCTCGTTACTCAGCGAGTTCGTCGATGTGATTATTTCCCACAGAGACGTTGATCTTGGTCGTGCACCAGAGGTATATGGAATCCGCAACAATAAAAGCATCTCAGGCTGATCACTGTAGTTCCACACAATCATTCAGCAGCTGTGCGAAAAAGCCCCGAAAGTAGCGCAGGCCATTGCTGGAACAATCGAAGAGGGAATTGCCAATTCCCGCGGGCACAAGCGCAAGCTAGCTGAAAAGCCTTCATATCGCCCAGCAAAGTTAAGGAGACAAGGGGCCGCCCTCTCAGCCGGAATATCCGAGAATAAACCGGAATCCAGCAAAAACCTCGGAGCCTCTACCAAACCACGCAACAAAGCCCTATCGAAGCCTTCACCGTTGTTCAATGATCATTCGTCTCAGGGCGGCGGCCATAGTGAAGGGGAGAAAAATACCTTACCTGGAGAAACCCTGGCCGCTATAGCAAGCAAAGCCCTTGCCACAAGTTCCAAAGAAAAGAGCGTCACTTTAGCCTCAAAGCAGCCCAAGGAGCCATTGCTCCACACCTCACCGGAGTTAGTACCGCACAAAGAACCCAGATGTTCCAAAACAACCCCCATTACTCCCACAAAACAAACCGACCGCCGTTTGCCTTCGCCTCAGACAGAGGAAATACATAGAAACTCAATTCCAACATCACTCGAAAGTATCGCTTCAACTGGCCAACCCACACCGACTAGAGTGTTCCGCGAATCACGCTCTATTATGCACTTGGTTGTCAAAGCTACCGATACTATCTGCAACCTTAGCAAATACAAGGATGGTGTTCCCTCGGATCTACATATCCGAGTCCTTCAATCGCTTCAACAAGTTCAACCTGAAGCGAGCGCAGAATCTACCAACCAGAACTATTGGTCGGATGGGTCGATGTGGGTACAGATACTCAAAATAAGCGATTCTCGTCAAGGCCAAGGTACTGTACAGAACATGCTCGAATATATAGGAGCTTGGGAGTGGTACAATACTCAGTTGGAGCTTGCGAAGAAAACACTCAGAACTAAAAAGAATAAATCAGTAGGGGAGCGCGGTGCGGCGTTGCATGTAATGAATCAAATACAGGACAGATGGATCAGCGGAGTGGGAATAGT